AATAATTGTCAAATATGTTGTCATAGAAATCATTGACTATACAAAACAATTAATACCTTTCAAGTGTCATCCATTAGTAATATTTTTTTAAAGGTAGTCGTTAGGTAACACTTCATTCGTTTATATGAATTATTCGTCTCAATTAATCGATTAACGTTTGTAAAGTTACATTTGATATGTTATTTTAAGGAAAAGAATTAAAAATTGCACTTATTTTCATTGAAATGACATAAAAATATTGATGATGAATACATTTCGAAAAAAGAAATTCTCATAATACGAATCATCATTGTTATTATTTTTTCTTTTTTTTATCAAATATGTCTTACTTCTCGAGCATCCATCACTGTTCCAACGCCAACAGTTAATGCTGATTTCGGTACTTGATTTACATCATTATCAAAAAAACGTGCATTAGCCACGATTGTATCTTGTGCAAGAGTTTTTACTCGAGTTCGAGATACCAAACTTGACCCTAAATATTAAAAAATAATAACTTTCTTTTAATAAGCAACAAAAATAGAATTTCATACCTGGTTCATTGAAAGCGATATGTCCATCAGGTCCTATGCCACCAACAAACAATTCAATGCCACCAGCATCTTTAATAGCTCGTTCAAAGTCATCACATTCTTTGATAAGATCCGGTGCATTCCCATCAAGTATATGAACATTTTTTGGATCAATATCAATATGTTTGAAAAAATTATTCCACATAAACGAATGATAACTTTCAGGATGATCCTTGTAATTAATTCACAAAAAAAAAGAAAATATTTATTACAAAAAAAATTTTTTTTTGTTACTCTTGGTAATCCAACATATTCATCCATATTAAAAGTAATCACATATTTAAATGATAATTCTTTAGCTTTGACAAAATCGATTAATCTTCTATAAGTACCTAAAGGTGTGCTACCTAAAGAAAAAAATAATAAGAGTAAAGTATTAATTAACAGCAAAAAATAAATAATATGACTTACCAGTTGGTAAACCGAGTACAAAACATCGATTAGGACCTGGTTTAAAATCATTTATTCTCTTTTTAATATACCGAGCACCCCACTCGGCCATTTCTGCATAATCTTTAGTAATTACTAATCGCATCTAAAATGAAAAACAAAGAAAAAGCACATTATTAGGTTGTTCGTTCGTTGTTTTTTCTTATTCGTTTCATTAGTGAGTATAAAAATTACACGACTGTTTCGATGTGAAAAAAATGCACGATATATAATATGATAAAAGAATAAAATCTGAAGAATGTTAACAGGGTCTGATATATATATATATTATTTTTCTTTTTACCTGATAGTATCATAAAAAAAACAGATAAACAATAATCATATTGTCTGTTGCTTTGCTTGAAAATAACAATAGAAAAAAGAAAAATATTTGATAAGGGTAGATTTGTTTTTCTATTGATCTTGTGGATTAATCTTATATTTCAAAAGTTTTTATAATGATAGAAAGAAAAAACCAACGCCAATTTATATTGTGATAATGATTTTATGACCTTCAATTGAAGGTCAATTACGAGAATAGAATAGTTTAAAAGAATTGTAACCATGACTTCTAATTATAAAACTCGATCTGTCAAAAAATGATCGATCAGCTGATTTAATGTCATTCCATAAATATTAATCGATGTGAGCGACATCAATAGTTTATTTTTGAGCAAATAAATCAATAGCAAATCATAGCACTGAGAATATGTTTTATGATTCATATAGAATAACAGCTTGTACTTATTTATTTATCCTATCTATTCCAAAAATAATACAATGCAATATCAACTGGTTTCAATTAATGTATACATGGTGACATTTTTGTATAGTATCTTGTAAATTTTATTATGGTCAACAATTGTTTTGCCGGATATATTTTCAATGAACATCTATCTATCAAATTAAAACTTTGATATACATATGAATTTAAAGAAAAATAATTTTAATAGTTTATCAAGAAAAAAAAACAAATATATTGAAAACTTATGGTTGAATATTTTTTAAACAGAAATAAATTTTTTAAGTGAACCTTATAATCCATTTGAAATTGTATCAAATCAATTGCATCAACTCATACAAATAAAATCAACTATTAACTTATTCATTGATTTATTAGAAAAAAAAGAATAGACTTTAAAATCATTATACAATTATGTTCAATATGACGGTTTTTATTCAATTTGAAAATAATCACAAACAATTATTTAAAAAAAAATAATTATCAGCCCAAGTTATTGTAATATTGCTGTCATTGAACGAAGCAAAAGCAGATACAACAATTACCAAAAAAATTTAGTTGATTGATATGTATTTAAACAACTAAAAGTGTTGGCATAGAGTAAGACATCAATGTTTCTTATTTTTATCTAAAGTAGATATTAAATCGCATGTATTAAAGGTTAGGTTCAATATCTTTTTTAAGTATGGATGTAGAAACAAAGTGTTTATGAGATTGTTTCATCCAACAAAACATGTTTTTTTTTTGTTATTCAATTTTAGATCTGCGTCTACAAATTCGTTTGAACTCACCCGCATCATTATTATCTCGTTTTGAATGTTTTTCATCAATTGTAACTTCTAACAAGTCTACAATATCAGCAGTCATCTTCTTTGTTTGTCAGATCTAAGCATATGACGGTCTGGCCTTAAAATGGGCCGGTCATTTCGAAGACTTGATCCGGTTTCGAGAAATCTTTCTTCTGGATCAAGTGTGCCTCGTCACCGATGACATGTGAGCTGGACGGATCCAAACTTCATTTCTTTTCTCAAAGAAGATTTCCGACGGAAGAAAATGGAGAATAAAGTCTAATTTTTACCAATCTTTTTCTAAGTGAAAATCGATTAAAATGATACTAGATAGTTGAATCTGATTTCAATCAAAATTGAATAGCGACATTTTAATTAATTTTATTCTGACTCTTCGTCAAAATTTTCTACATAGGATTTGAAATCCTCAACTGATAACAATCAAGAATTGTTTAAACTTGCAAACGTTTTGCAAGTTTTATTTAGTCAATGAACAAAAGCAGAGAATCTATTCGATTCGATGATACTGCTCATTCACACACAAAGCTGAATGCACTATTAGTTGCATTAAGTGGCAAGAGTGTTACTGGAATAGAGCCGCGTAAACTGTGTAATAAAAGAAACAGTCTAACTAAAAATCCTGACTGATCTCACTCTTTGAAATAGATCAGTTGGCATTTTACTTGTGAATGCTTTTTGTTAACAAATAATTAAGTCCATGAAACTGCAGTACTCACGAACGCATCTTACTCTGACGGTTCCATAAGTATTTCAACTTTTCTCTGATGTTATTTTTTTTTTCTAACACTAAAATTATTCGGCTTTATTCAAATGGAGATCGCTACGATAATAAATTTTTTACAATGCTCTAATAAATGACTGCAGTAATTATGGAATTCTATCGTGTAGAAATCTTTTTTGTCACAGACATATATTTTTAACGATGTCATTGCGAGCTGGACCAACGAACACTATGAACTGATCGGACTCTAATAGAGTAGAAGTCCAGCTGAGCAGGCATGAGCAATTCTTGGTACGATGTAGGCTGGGTCAGGGAATCAAAACTTTGCTCGATTTCAAAGCCTATTGACTGTTCTATTTCAGTTGATGGAGCTGGAACGATTCAAATTGATTATTAATTACTCATTGATGATCAATATGTAATTAATTAATGACTTTGGCTATCGAAATGTCTGCTGAACAGCTCAAAAGAGCTAGGCACTGTCATACGCTCAGTTAAATCAATAGCAAAAGAAACAATTTGAGCTATTTTACAAAATCATAATTCATCTGCATTTATTTGTAATAAAGATAATCAAATATCGATTTTATATAAGTAAAAAAAACAAAACCTAATATCTAATGTTTAAACAATAATAAACCATGTAACTTTTTTGTTATGACATATTCAGAAAACAAATATATTTAGAAGTTGAGTATATACAAAAATTTTCTTTTGAATTAAATCTATTCAATCTTATACTTTCATTACTAGTAATACATTGTATCTGTACAATGGAAAAACATTTACTCACACATATTAAAAATCCACTGTTAACTCTTTGGTGACCGGTGATGCCTATATGCAACATGAGCTTTATCGTCATATAAAACTAATGTAGTCATTAATAATGCATATGTTTTTTTTGGATACATTTGCGTAAAAACAAACATCAAAGAGCAGAACTTTTCCACATTATCATTTTGTTACGGTCTATGTTAGAGTTATGTGTTAAAAAAAACTAAAGTGTGCATGGCATAAAAACCACACTATTTTACGCATATGTATCTTTTGTTGGAAATCAAAGGGTTAATGAACTAGAAATGTTAGAATGTTCGATTCTTTTAAGATTTTTTTTTGAAATCAATGTAAAATAATGAAATCACGTTATTTCTATGGAACAGCTCTAACAGAAGTATGTCATAGATCATATTCAATCGTTGTTATAGAATTAATAAAAATAAATTTGTCATTAGGTGATGTCATGAAAATATTTCTCAATTTTATCAAATATAAATAATGCATAACTAATTACAATATAAAGAAAAATTTTACAAATAGAAATCAATGTCAATCTTAATTATTTCTAGGAACCCTACATACACTAATAGAAATATTTAAATATCTCTAAAACAATAGACAACTCTAAATTTTATTAACAGATTTGTATAGAAGACAAATTGAGTTAAAAAGAAAGCAAACAATCTCAACAAATCTAATTGAATAAACACTTATAATCGTTGATTCATTTAATCTAATTAAAAACAAAAGAGAATTAATAATTTGTTTATTATTAATTCAAATAAAAGAAAAATATTTACATATTTAGTCTTGTTTTTCTTTCTATCCTTCTTATGATATGATATTAAATAGTTCTTATCTTTCTTTCAAAGTTTTTTTTTTATGTAATTAGCTTTTAAGAAATATATATCTATATTTGTCTATTTTATCTAAACTTTCATTTTAAGATGTTAACTAAAAGTCCTCGTACATTTGGTACATATGAACGATTTCTTTATTTTCTTCATCGTCATATATCATACGATTCAATCAAAAGCCATGATAATTATAATTATTTGAAACGAAGTATTTTACCAACAGACCATTTTCAATATAGTTTACCACGTTTACCAATACCAAAATTAGAATTAACATGTGAACGTTATTTAACAGCTCTTAAACCTATACTTAATAATGATGAAAAATCCTTTGAACTAACACGTCAATTAGTTGATGATTTTCGTATGGGTGATGGTAAAAGACTTGATGCTCAATTACGTCAAAAAAATCGAGCTAATCGATATACATCATATATATCAAAACCATGGTTTGAAATGTATTTAAAATCACGTTTACCCCTAATATTAAATTTTAATTATTTTCTTGTTCTTACTGATGATCAACAACAATTAACACCAGCGGCCCGTATTACAAATTATATTGTATCATCTGTGCGTTTTATGAATTCGCTTCGATCTAATTGGCTTGATCCAGAAATATATCATTTAGATCCAACGAAAACAAACACTGATCGATTTCGAAAATATCTTCGTTATATACCTAAATTTGTTTCATTTTATGGTGCTGCTCTACAAAAAGCATATCCATTAGATATGTCACAATATCATCGTTTATTTAATTCAACTCGTATACCAAAAACTGATTGTGATTTACTTGTTACTAATAATGATAATGTTCGACATATTATTATTATTAAAAAAGGTCATTATTACAAGGTAAATATTTTAGAAAAAAATGGACAACTTTTACCAGCTGAAAAAATTGCATCAATGATGAAATATTTATGTGAAGATTTAAATGAAGAAGAAAATAAATATCCTTTAGGATATTTTACAGCTGATAAACGTGATCGATGGGCATTAATACGTGAACAAATCGAAGCAATTTCGGAACATAATAAACAAATGTTCAAAGAAATTGATAGTGCAATCATGCTTGTATGTTTAGGTTAGTTTTTAATGCTTTTTATCAAAATGAATTAATTAGTAAATCGTTTTATTATTTGAAAAATCATTTATATTAGATGAAAATCTTCTTTATCAATGTTTCAAATATTGACTATTCTATTGAAATCAGTCTTCTACGAGCGCTATAAATCTTTTTTTATTTCAGTCATTTGCTCACATTAAGTTTGAACTTCTACAGACACATAATTATTTTAATCAGGAATGGCGGGAAGAGAGATTTCCTACTCCTGCTTTTAATAATTTTGACGCATCTTTCTTTCATTTTTGGAGAAAACCTCTAATGAACTGTTTATTTTTTTTTAGAGAAATCTCTTGTGAGTTTTCTTCGAATTTGAAGAAATTAGAAGTATATCTTGCATCGATTTGTTGAGATTTAACGTACATCATTCTCTTATTCTAGGAAGACTATTAGAACTCTAGTTTCTCCAAATTGTGGGAATATGTTGACTATTTTCTTTCTTTAATTTTGAAAGATTTTTACTATGCCTTTTTTTCGATATAGAGAAGCACAGAATAAGCGTTTTTCGTACCCTGTCCCCTGATCGAGAACAGATTTTCTTGCTTTTGCTTTACTCTGCAGAGTAGGATAGGCTAACCCTGCATATTTCTATTCCGATTGTGTGAGAGCTTGATGAAATGGCACTGTTTCATCAATGAAATGATGATTGAAATTAGCGAAAAACTTGATTACTTTTTGCGGCTAATCGAGATGTTTAAAATACTTGGATGTTTTTCAGATGACATAATTCAGAATCATTCTTCGAAATTCTCAAGTAGATGCGTGAGTTTTACCATTATTGTCGATAATTAGTGAACTTAAAGAGATTTTCAAAATACTGTGATAAAGCCAGAAATCATACCATGATTTATGCGATAGTTATAGCCTCTAAACGAGACTAAAATCTCTGCCACTTTCAGTAGGGTCAATGGGTTTATCTATCTTTAGAGTACTCAATACGAATTCGAGAGTTTCTAATACAACTAGACAATCGTTATTTGGGTTAATAGCTGTCACTAACATAAAGATGAAAAAGATTCAAAAAAATTTTCTGAACTGAATGTAAAAATATTACCACTACAAAGAGATTTAGTAGAAAACAATATTTTAGGAGTCTGAATTAATGTTTGCTATACAGCACATAATTTGAGCTGTGTGTATGAGCTTGTCTCAGAGTTTGATTTTGATGTAAAATCGGTTGAAATAGCAACATTTTTTGCGCACTTTTACTTGCAAGAAAAAATTTGAATTATGTCTACTCAGCTTCTGTTGACTCGAAACGGTATTACGTTGGGCCACACATTTATCCCAGTTTTAGAACTCATTCTCTCTTGCTTTGATCTCTGCATGTCTCTGCTAGTTTTAATATAATCTATAAAACCATGTAATATAGCATTAGTCCAAAGTGATGACATAGAACCAGATTACACCCCAATCAAAGCAATTCAATAATTATGTTTTATGTTATTTATTCATTCACCGAATCTTTATTGACGCGAATGATAGAATATGATTTAATAATATGTTTCTGTTCATAATTATGACATCAAATTCATAAAAGAATTTAAAAATGAATTGTCTTAAACAAACTGTACTAGAGCTGGTCAAGTGAAACTAATTTTAAAATCGAGTCAAAGTATTTTCCCCTTTTTGTCTTCCTTTTATTTCTATATCTTATCACAAGTTTGCTATTGACTATTATAGGTTTATAAAGAAAATGCGAACAGTAAAATGATCTTGTGTATTTTATGCGATTCCAAACCATAATAAAAAGAACGCCATATTTTATTGACAAAAGTTCAAGTTTAAAACTGTTTATTAGCAAAAAAATTATTTATAAACATTTAATTTAATGTCTTACTTCACTCTAAAAATGTTAAAGTAATGCTGATGTAGCTAGAACATATATGATTTATCTAGGAAGATGATGAAGAGATTGATATGAATTCACTTATTAGGACTTATCTATCTCTAGAACTATACTACTAGAGATCTTTATTCCTTATCATCAGCAAATATATCTTATAAATACAATCTACTTCAACGATACTCTATTGAAGAAATTTTAATAGATCTGAAACTAAGTACTTTTGGTCGTCTCGTTTGTATGATGTCTAAACATTCAATCTTATATATGTAGCGTCAGTTTTATCTATAAGAATATATATTATTTTCACATATAAATTCGATAAAATGAAACGATATCACGTATCACAAATATCAAGATCAGGATTCTCGATTTAGAATATATCTCTTCCCCTGACAAATGTCTGAGAATTTCTGCTAAAAATCTTCATATGTTCGGCTAATTTTTTTACAATCTCGTGATAAGTTTAAACAGAAACAGAATTTTGAAACACCGTGTGCCTTTCTCCAGCAGAAAGTGAAATTAAAATAAGCAGACAGTGTTATTGCGAGATATATCCTTTCCACTCCGATCGTTACTTCTAGCATTTCGGAGATAGAAAAGCATTTTCCACCGAATTTTTAACCCCTTCTATCCTAAAAAATGTTGGCAACATTGACTAATATAATGATCTAGAGAAAAAGAAACAACTCATCCCCGATAGATCTCTAATTTGTAGAGTTCATAAAAAACAATTTTATTTGATCGACTATTTTTTTTTTCGTCAGTGACATACTATTTTATATTTTACATTACTTTCTTGTCTCAATAGATGATGATGATCCATCAAAATTAAATAAATCACTTAGTAAAGTACAACGTGTGCAATATGTATCTGGCAAATATTTATGTAATAATGCATTAAATCGTTGGTATGATAAGTCATTTAATATGATAATGCTAACCGATGGAACATTAGGTTTACATTGTGAACATGCATGGGGAGATGGTGTTGCTTTACTACGTTTTTGTAATGATATTCATAAAGATGTTAACGAACATGGAAAAATAAATTCATCAAATTATCAATTAATTAAATCATCGACACATGATTGCATTGAAAAACTTGAATTTAATTTAAACGATAAATTAATTAATGAATATCATATATCAAAAAATAATTATGATGAATTTATATCAAAATTAAATATAAATATTTATCAAGAATCAGTTCTTGGTAAAAGTTTACTGAAAAAATCTGCTCTTAGTCCTGATGCTATAATGCAATTAGGCATTCAAATGTCTTACTATAAATTGTATCATCGTTTTGTATCAACATATGAATCATGTTCAACAGCTGTTTATAAACATGGTCGTACAGAAACTATACGACCTATAACAAATGAAACAAAAAATTTTATTGAAACATTAACAAAATCAAACGATAAGAAATTAAAAAAAGCTTTATTAAAAAAATGTTCTGAAAAACATCAACAATTAATTAAAGAAGCAGCAACTGGTGAAGGTTTTGATCGACATTTATTTGCATTAAAATATTTACAACAAATTGAAAATCAAGAAAATCATTTACATCCAATTTATACTGACAAATCATATCAATTAATGAATCATAATGTTCTTTCAACATCAACAGTTGTTTCAAAACATATTGCTGCTGGTGGTTTTGGTCCTGTTGTTAATGATGGATTTGGTATTGGTTATTTAATAGATGATGATCAATGTGGATTATTAGTTACATCATATATGAAAAATGAATTAACTAATTTTATGGAAGCAGCTAATGAAAGTTACAAAGAACTAGCAAATATTATTAAAGAATAATATGTTTATTTTATTTTTTGATATCAGTGAAAGTTACAAATAGTAGTATATTCAACAAGATGGAAAGAAAATTTTAGAATATTTACAAAAAATAATCTTGCTTTTTATATGGCAATTGGAGTAACAATAATATAAAACTGATAAAAAAAAAGCAATTTTTTTTCTACATTCTTATGTGCAATCTTTTCCAATTTCTAAATTTGTTCGTTGATATTTTCGCATATGTTATAGTTTTTCTCTATTGTTTTCTTTTTTTAACAGAATTTTATAGCCATGTAATCTTTTTCTTTATGACATATGCTCAATTAAAAGGTGATATTTCATGTTTTTTACATGATAATTACTTACATGGAGGAGCTAATGATCTCCTCTCATTTTTTTTTTCTTACATTATTATTAATCGATTTGATAATATATTTTAAAATAATACCAAGAAAAGAAAAGGTAGGCGATGGAATTTATTATTTCAGTCTATGGTATAGAGAAGTATTGAGACAAAAAAATTAATTATTCTCTTTTGATTTGTTTTAAACATCCATTTTCAATGATCGTTTTTTCTCTTTTCTCTGTCCTATTCCAACGCCAACATATTTCTATATATATGAGAATGTTTTGTCGTCCTTTTCGCTCTTTCTCTTCTCTGTCATACATACGTGTAACAATCCTATTTGAATAGATGTTTGTCAACGAACGACGACAGACAAACCATCGTATTCACATCTGATGACAATAAAAGAGAAGAAAAAAAAATCGAACGAACAAATCATTCGTTCTCTTACTTTATTCAAGTAGTTGTACTTATTCAAACTAGCATAAGTCTTTTTAGATGAATACTATGCATGTCATTTATGTATTGATTAGTTGTTCAATTTTTTTACCGTCATTTATTTATTCCAATGAAGATTTTTATCAACTACTTGGAATAACAAAATCAGCTACGCAACGTGATATACGACGTGCATTTAAACGTTTAGCACTTGAAAAGCATCCAGATAAACGAACTGTAAATGAAATTTTAATATTAATTATTCTATTAAAGTTGTATATTTTTTTTTTATCGACATAGGGAGATCCAGACGCACATGCAGAATTTTTACGAATCAATCGTGCATATGAAATTCTACGTGATGATGAATTAAGAAAAAAATATGATACATATGGTGAAGAAGGTCTTAAAGATGATTTTAATCGTGGCAATCAATATCAATCATGGAATTTTTATCAACATAATTTTGGTTACTAAACTTCTTTTTATTTTCTTTATTGTTTTATATGAAAATTTTGTCTTTTTAGGTATTTATGATGAAGATCCAGAAATTATCACTCTTAGTCGAGCCGATTTTTGTAAGAATTTAATTTAAACAAAAAACACAAAAAAGGAGAATATTTATCACATTTATTTATTTATTTTTTTTTCTTTTTATTAGTACAATCCGTTGTTGGTGCACAAGATGTATGGTTTATTAATTTCTATTCTCCACAATGTTCACATTGTCATGATTTAGCACCAGTGGTATGTGTAATTATATAAAAAAATATTTATTTCTTTTTGATCGGATATTTTTTTTTTGTTTTTAGTGGCGTGAAATATCGAAATTACTTGAAGGTGTTATTCGTATTGGTGCAATTAATTGTCAAGATGAATGGATGATGTGTAATGAACAAGGTATTCAAGCTTATCCAACATTACGTATTTATCCCAAAGTAAGATTTTAATTCAGAAATTTAATTAAACTTAAAAATAAAATTTTTTTTTTTTTGATAATTCTAAAGCGTGATACTTATCAAGGTCCAAGAGAAAAAGATGCACTTATTCGTTATGCAATGAGCTTTGTATCAGCTAATGTTATTAAATTTGATGATCGAATGTTTAAGAGTTTAAAATTTGATAAAAATAAACCATGGGTTGTATCATTTTGTCGAGAAATTGATGAAGGTGATTGTTTAGATGATGATCAAGTTTATAAATTAGCTGTTATGCTAGTAAGTTAAATATTTGATTTTTTTTGACTGATTAATCGAATGTAATTTTTTTTTTCATACTTTTTATTATTAGAATAATCTTGTACAAGTTGCTAGTGTTAATTGTCATGCTGATCCAGATGTATGTAATCAATTACAACCAGAAAGTTCTATTCTTTATTATCCAGCTGAAGAATTTCCATCGAATAATAGTTATAAAATAACAAGTTTAAATTTAAAAGATATTGTTTCACAAATCTTAGCACTTTTACCTGATTTATCATTAATTACAGAAGATCAATTTAATGTAAGAAGAAATAAAATAATTGAAAAATGACAATTTTGATTATTTATTTATTTTTTTTGTAGAAATTAATCAATCATTTGAAGCAAAGTACAGTTGCCAAACCATGGTTAATTCATTTTGTTGATCAAACGAATAATGATAAAGATCATGATCTAAGAAAATTACCATCAATGTTAACGGGTAAATATTATTAAAAAGAAATTTTATGAAATAAAAGAAGAAAACAGCTGTTAGCGCATTCTGTGCGAAATTACATTGTGAAATATAATGCAATTGCTATTGCTGATTACAATGAGATTGTTTTATTCTATCTATTTTGGAGCACATTTCCTCGCCATCCTTCCTTATAGACTAGTAATGCATATCGATGTGGTTATGATAAAATTCATTGATGACATCGAATAAAGTTCATTTAGAGACATTTTGATGTTGTCTGGTTTGATGAATGAATAGTTATATATATATATATATATATATCATCAGCAATTGATTGTTAATAGAAGGAAACGGAAAATCTATTTCTTAGAATTTTTATTTTACTATTCTTTCCAGTATAAATAAATGATTTCAAAATCCATTCATAGTTCAAGTTAATTCTGTTTTTCTTAAAGTGGTGTTTTATTTGATCTTGAAGTTCATTCGTATGTGTCTTTATAATAATTAATAGAAAATTTTAGACTAAATTTAACTAAAAAATGAAATGATGTCGATGTTAAATACTAAGTAAATACGATCGATCGATGATTGAGATGTATATGATTAATCATTATAAAACTTGTTAACTTGACCTTAAGATTTATAATACCTATTCAACAGATGCATTAGAAATGTTAAATCGTTTTCAAAAGAAAGTGTAAATATTACGTTAGTTAATTAATACAGGTGCATTTAGTCAAGAGATTTTTGAAACATGATTGAAAAAAAAATGTTTCTTTTTTTTTTCCTCTTTCAGAGTATAACGTTGGTCGATTCGATTGTTCATCATCACAAAATACCTGTACTGACTTATACATATTCAAAAAACCTGCTTTTATTTTATTCAAACGAGGTGGTCATTATGAATTCTATTATGGTAAATATATACTTATTTAAAAAAAAAAGACGTATAAATTAAATCTAAATTAAAGGTCGTCATATATCTAATGATATTGCTGGATTTGTTCGTGATAATGCTTTTTCACCATTACGTACATTAATTCCTTCTGATTTTCCATCGGTAACAACTGATTCAAAACCATTTATAATCGATTTCTTTTCGCCAGTAAATATTTTTATTTAAAAAAAAAATCTAAAATCACTTTTATTCTTATTATTTATATTAGTTTTGTCCACCATGTATGCATTTATTACCTGAATTTCGTAAAGCATCAAACCGTTTGAATGATAAAGTTAATTTTGGTACAGTTGATTGTACAATACATCAACCATTATGTCAACAAACGGGTATAAATTCATATCCAACAACAATAATGTACAATCAATCAGTTCAACATTATTTTAATGGTCAACATCATGAACAAGCAATAATCAATTTTATTGATGATATATTAAATCCTACTGTTATTTCATTAGATAATGATTTATATGTAAAGTTAATCGAAAATAAAAATTCAAATGACATGTGGTTAATTGATTTTTTTATGCCATGGTGTTATCCATGTCAACAATTAAGTGGTGAATGGAGAACATTATCAAAAGTATGAAAAAAAAAATAAAGACAGACAAACATTCATTTTTATTCTTATTTTGTGAATAACGGTCTAAAAGCAACGTTGAAGAATAGAGGTAGAAATTTGGATTTCCTCCCACAGACGTGACAGATCTTATTGATACAGAGTCTTTGATCGCATATCAATAACGTCTTATTATTGATGTAGAGATGAGCAGTGTTACTCTCGGGATGCAAAGTAAAAAAAGACTTGAATCTGCACATCTCTACCATGATATTATTTATGCTTCTTATTGCTTTTAAAGTCTTCTAATTAGGATAATATTTAGAGGCAGTAAGATAAAAACTTTGCAGGATAAGGCAAAGATATCCAGTCAGACAAGAACTCACTTTAATGCGTAAAAATATGTTTTTGATCGATTCTGTCTGACTGAACATATGCTGTACAGAGTAGGATAGATTAAGAAAGTTTTTTTGTCCGTTAGAGCACGAAAAAGTTCACCCTACACATATCTAATGTATGAGAACTACTTCCTTATTACATTTCTAGAGAATTAAGTAAAAGAATATTCTACAAATATTTCCTAAAATAAATAGAATAAAGCAATTTCTCTATGATTAACAACAGCAACTGCATCATGTTTCACATTTTAATCCCGTAGAAATTTCACTAACATTTTTTTTTTGTCTTTCTAGTATTTAAAAGGTATTGCTTATGTTGCACAAGTAGATTGTACAGTTCAATCCTATCTATGTCAAAGACAAGGTGTTTATAGTTATCCAACAATTCGTCTCTATCCATCAAATGCTGACGGACAAACTTATATGTAATAAAATAATTTCTTTATTAAAAATTAATTAAATTTGTTTTGTTTGTCGTTCTATTTAGTTTATATAATAATGGATGGCGTGATGCAAATTCATTGCGAGCATGGGCATTTCAATATTTACCAAGTAAAGTTATTGAACTTGATGAAAAAAATTTTTCGACAAATATTTTACGTGACTCAAAACCATGGTTAATTGATTTTTATGGTTAGTTTTATTATATGAATATTGATTTTTGTATGTTTATATGTTATTTCTAGCACCTTGGTGTGGTCATTGTCATCATTTTTCACCAATATTTGAAAGTATTGCACGTGTAAGTAATATTTTAATGAAAAGAAAATTCAATTGAATTGTTTGACTTTTTCTTTAAAAAAGAGACTTGATGAAAAAGTAAATTTGGGTAAAATTAATTGTGATAATCATCGACAAGTTTGCGAACGAGCATCAATTCGTGCTTATCCAACAGTTAAATATTATAAAGGTTCAAGTGATTCTAAACGACAAGTAAATTTGAAGAAGCTTTTTCTTTTCATTTTCATTTATGAAATGAAACTTGATTTTTTTTTCTGCAGGATTTTCTCGGTGATGAAATAGGAAATTTAGATGCAGATTTTATTGTTAATTATATTACTAATCAGCTAAAAGAACAACAACAAACATCAAATGTACATCATACAACTGAATTATGAATGAATCTCATCTTACTGTTTTTTTTTTAATTATCCAATATTATTTTGGTGCTTTTTGATGTATCTTTTGTTTATTTATATGTATATCGAAAACGCAATTTATGTTCTCAAATGTACATGAGATCTATTGTTTTTTATCGTATTGGTTGATAATTTATTACCAATACGTATAATTCTTTCTTTTGTATGCTGTTATGACTGTACTTAAATGGGTTTGTTTGTTATTCTGTTTTTTTTGGTAGTTAATTATTCTTTTTTTTTTTGGTAATGAAAATTGTTGAAGAATTTATTCTATGCAATAAAGAAAGCATGTTTGTTTTTATTGAGAAAAAAATACGTTTCGGAGTTGTAGTGTTTTTCTAAGATTATGTTTTATTGAAGTTTAGGTTTTATCTAGTGGAAAGATAATTCAAGTGGTAAAACATAAAATTGAATTCTTTATTACTGATATGTGATTCGAAAGAAGAGAATTTGCAATTTAAATTGTTTAATATTATGGAATAATGTAAGGAAAGACTTTGTAAGTTGTACTAAACAGACGATATTTGTAGATATCAAATACACAAATATATTGAATTCGTTTTTAAACATTCAAAAGATTTCATATTCTAAATGATTAATTAATATTTTTATCAGCAAATATTAGTTAATGTATTCTTTTTATTACAACAATATTAAATCTAATACAAACTATTGAACTTATGAAAAATAGTAATTTACATCATATTAAATAAAATAATCTTTTGTATTGTTTGTTTTATTCTTATATTTTTCTTTTTATAAAAAATTGGTATGATTTCAGACATAAAAAGCTATATATTAATTAATAATTAGGATCTAGAATAAGGTTTTTCTTTTTTTATTGCATGTATAGCTATGATCTTAATCAATTTAATCAAACAAATGCAATATCAACTATATAGTCCAAATGTGTTCGTCTTATTTTAAATTATTTTTATATTTGTAGTTTAGTTGATTAAATAATTAGTTATTAAGAATAGTCATAGGATAATTTGAATAATTTTCGTTCGCAATTATTCTCGAAGTCATTCTAGTTTCATAAACAAATAAGTTTTCAAATTTCATTTGAATAAAAATACATATTTTCGATTGATTTGCATATCAAATATTTGATTTTTTTGGTTAGATTGAGGGAACTATCATTTAACAAACCTTAAAAGGTTCTTTTTTTTTTTTTTTTATTCTCGATACTTTGTATTCATCATTGTATACAGTAGATGGAAGAAATACACGTATACGTTAATAGTTTCACATACAAAAAAAAAAAAAAACGAGAAAAAAGACTTTATTCTTTTTCGCACTAATCCTTTACTCATTGGTTTGATTACTTATTTGACCCATAATATTGTCTGTTCTCTTACAAACTCGTAAAAAATAATATGCAACACTATCGAAAGCAAATAAATATATATATATATATATACATATATATGAAGAAAGAACCGATGGAAGGATCACGTACGAGAACAAAATTACTATAGTACAATATATTTTTATTTCTACAACATACAATATAATCTATCAAATAATATGAACACATTAGTTGATAAAAATATTTCACAATCTCAACTTTCGAATCTAGATCAAATTCATATTGACAATCAATTAAACGATGATAATAAACATAAGGATTCCTTTTTACCACGATTAATGCAATGGTTACATCTCACCAAACGATGGAAACCTGAATCGACACCAGAAGTATGTAAATATATGCATAGAGATTGTCTCTTTTTTGTAGAACTTTGAGGAGTAGATAAAAAAAAATAGGGTTTGATATGTCTACACGTTCTCGAGAATTGCTTACAAACCCATAATTATCTAACAGTGTATTAACCATTCGTATACATAGTACAGCGTCTATCGTCAACAGCGTGTAGTTATTATTTCTAGGAAGTAAACGAGATATAAAAAAAAAACAATCTTTGCGTGTACTTTAAGGGTCGAATAGTATTTGGTACTAATGTTAATAATAATAATGACAAGAAGAATAACGAAATCATGTGTATAAATGATATTCCGTTTGTTATTCCAAGACGATTAGAAGATATTCGTCAAGAAACTACAACAGATTTTGAACGAGCTAAACTTATTATACGTCGTATGGATGAATATCTTGTTTCGCCTGAAGATTTAGATGAAGCTAAACGACAACGTCATATAGATACATCACTTGGTTTAAGTGCTTTAGCCGAAGCAGCTAATAAAATACAAAAAGTATCATTTCGTGAAGTACTTAGTATAGATGAAACATTACCATTGGCATCAAGATGTTTATCAGAAAAAGATTCATCTGTTGATAATATTTTACGTAAAGAAGAAAAAACTGATCCAATAACAGATTTTCAAGAAGCACATGATTTAATTGAATTTGATGAAGCAATTGAGGAACATCGTAAAAATTTATTAAAAAAAGAACCAAATAAATTGTCCGATATGATTTATTTAAAATTTTGTTTAATGCTTCAATTACAACGTGATGAAACTGAAAGTTGTTTACGTATATTTTTACATGATATTATATTTAAATTTCATTTAACTGGCTTTCGTTTACGTTGTGAAATTCATGTTAAAAAACCAATTGAACATGATCTTGTTTTAGAAAAAGTTCTTAATGAATCACATTTAAGTACAAATTATTCAGCAGAATTAATATTTTGGTCGGCAGATTGGATTATTCAACAAGAAGTTGAATTATATATTGTTATGAAAGTTGAATCTTTATCAATAGATAAATATATGGGTTCAAAATTTTGGGATGTGGCACATTTACATGTTAAAAATGTTCCACATGGAGCTTCGAGAGTCTTTTTACGTGAACTTACACCCGTTAGTCGTCCACATAAAATAGTAAGTTGAAATTTTCGATGAAATCGTTTTTAAATGTGACTTTGTTTTTTTTTTACTAAGCGTTCACGTGGTTTTAATGTTGGACAAGTAAAAATTGAAGCAGCATATTGGCCTGATAAATCTCAATTATCAATTAATATTGTCAAAGTTAGTCATTCACAAGCAGAACGATTATTACGAGCACCAGGTATAATATGTTTGTCTTTTCTTTTTGTAAATTCAAGGTTTTTTTTTTATTATTTAACTTGTTTAGAAACATGTGTTGAAGTTATTTTTCAAGGTCCATTTGATATATATGATATAAAACGAACGAAGATAGCTGATCGTTCATTAAATCCAACATTTAATGAAGAATTTTTTTTTCAAATGCCAGAAAAAACAGCAGTTAGTGATATTACAGTTGATTTGGTATTTCTTGAAAAGTTATCCTTAACTCATCATCCTTGTGTACTTGGAGTATTAACATTATCAAAACATACAGATTGGGAGCCTGTAAGAAGATTTTGGACTGATGTGGAAGAAAATCCAAACATTAAATGGAAAAATAGTTTTCTATTTGAAGGAAATGTCGATGAATAACAAGTGAAATAGGCTTTTTTTTTCGTTGTATTATTGTTTTAATCAGTTAATAATGTTTTAAAGAAATAGATTTTTATTTTTTATTTTTATTTCTTATAGAAATTTTTTTTTTTTTCGATTGAAAATATAAACATAATTTTTTTAATAGAAATAAATCTCAGGATACATACGATTGTCTTTTTCTTCTATTAAATTCTGTATAACTGTACAGTATATGATAATTGGTATATTATAATAAAATCAAAGAACAGATAACTAGAATCATTATGCATGTTCACGATATGTATTCGAACATAAGTTGTGTTCAGTAGTACTCGATCTCGGTCAGTTACATTGCCAAACTGAATCATCATAATCAAGAAATATAAACTATTGCTCCTGTTCTCGTTTATTTAAAAACAAGCTACGAAAAAAAAGTATTAATATCATTCAGAAAAAAAAACAACAAATAATTCAAAAACATTTAAATAGTATAATCATTATAATTAAATTCAACTAAAATCATGTTGATCTAGGGAAACTCTTTCTTCAAATCAATTTGCATTTGTCTGTATAAATCATCTTCTGTATCGAATATTCCTTTCACTTTTTTTTCATCTATAAATTTTGATTTGTATTTTTCCTTATTACCACAAAATATATAAACACTATGTAAAGTATCTCGATCAGATACAAGTGAAACAAGACATCGAGCAAGATGACCAGACATAATAGCAACAAGTTTCACATTAGGATTTCCATCAATGAATTCATTGAATTGATCAGTCGATTCAAAATAATGCCACTTTACTATACGATTTGAAATACTTTCGAAACGTTTTTTTAATGCAAGATGTGTATTAGCTTCACCAATATTTTGATCGAGCCAACAAGCCACAAGAGGCGGAGATGATGACATTGTTTTAATTCTGATTGACAAATGAAAAAGTTAATAGTATTCACACGTCTTTTCTACAACGTAGTGAAAAAAAAGGAAGAAAAAAATGAATCAGAAAAAAAAATGGTTGGTTTTTTCCAACTTTGATGTTTCTATAGAATACGTAGAAATATATTTCTCAATCATTCAATTACCGTTTAAACTTGTCGTAGAATATATGATTTTTTACGTGTATCACTTGTAATATCTTATTATAATAGTAAAATGTTAATTTTTAAATACTAAGAATATATTTCGTTTTAGTAATACCAAAGAAAAGGTCTATAATAACAACATATTTGTGTTCTTAATATCTCCCATACATTTAATGTTCTTGTCTCGATAGAAATAAGCATTATTGCAATTATTGAGTCATATTATACTATAAAACTTCAATTTCCTCTTTTTTATTTGTTGATTATGGGCCAGTTATAATAAAAAAAATGGTCGGATCAATACCTTGATTCTTATTTAAAGTCTATATCGTCATTTGATGAATGCAAAAAGTCTTAGAAAGGTTGTAATAGTTGTTATTAAAATTATTGATTATGAAGAATGACAACAACTTTGATGCATAGTTCTAAGCACTAATGACATCTATCAAGTACAATCAAATTGTTTCAAACATGATTTTTTTCATTTTTTATTCATATTCAATTATAAAATAAATAAATCTAGACTGTTTATTAATTAGATTATTGAAAGTATATTTCTTGATTCTAAACCTTTGTTCCCAACCAAATGAAATAACCAATATAAAAGCAGCTGAATCATGAATGGGATATCGTTAAAATAATCTTTGTCTTCTTTAACAATTTGTTTCATTTTTTAACTCCTAACTTTTACAATTTGATTAAATCATGTTTCTATTAAAAATTGAATCTTCTAGTATTGAATAGATATTATTCTTTCCAGAATTGTTTTTGTCAGATTAGTTGTTCCGAAAAATGGATACAACAGACATAGGAATTACATCAACAATAATTGATACAACAACATCAGCAGCAGTTAAGCGTCGTGATCCTCCTCCATTGAATGTTTATGTGCGTATTCGTCCATTTATCGGTGATGAACTTGAACGTGGCGAAAATCAAAAGCTATTGCAGATTATCGATGAAAAACATATTTCTGTCAAAGTCTGTCCAACAACTAATAATAATATTCGAAATATACAAGCATCATATAATGAATACGAGGTAATTTTTTTGTTTTCATTTAACTAAAATTCAAATAGTTCTATTAATAACCAATGGAGTTCTCTATCAAATATATTTCATACATTGCCTATGAAAGAAAGGTTTCTGAAAAATTAAATACAGTAGTTTTCAGATCTCAGAAGACTGAAAATTAGTTTGAAGAGTACTATCCTCAAGTGCACAAATTCTTGATTAAAATGAGGAATTGACGTATTTCCTCCGGGCTTGATGAGCATCACAAAAAGAAGAAAAAAAATACTACTTTTTTAAAGCATCACTGATAAAATTAGTTTCTTTTTTTAATTTTGTGATGGTTGTAATCTTTCAAAAAAATACTATTACTACTCATGTTCTTCAAAATTTTGTGTTCTTTATGATGATACTAACAATAACAGATTTTCACACTGTATTCTGAAAACCTAGAAACTATGATGATTGAGATTTCACAAGTCTTACTCTAATAGACTGTCTATGAAATTTAATTGTAGAATGATTTTATAAAGAATTTCATAGGCTACTCGAATCATCAATTTGTTTAAAATTAAATAGTTAGTATTGTATAAAATCTATCTGAAGTTGTATTAGTGAAGAATCATTTTTTGAGAAGAAGAAGAGTCAAAAAAAAAGTTTCCTACTGAACAAGTACTCATTCATAGTATCTCTCGTTTTGCTGTCAAAAAGACAAAATTATGAGTTTTTATTTTCAGGTAAGTCGAATATTTGATCATCGTTGTACACAACAAGAATTATTTGAACAAATTCTCGAACAACCAACTAATGAAATATTTACTGGTTCAAATTGGCTTCTTTGTACACTTGGTCTAACAAATAGCGGTAAATATTTTATTTTTATTTTTTAGATATATTTGATCGATAAATAAAATTCTAGGTAAAACTCATACAATGTTTGGTACAGCAGAAGAACCTGGTTTAATTCCACAATGTCTTCAACGAATATTTTTAAATGTTGGTCAAAATATTGATGATAAAGTTCTTTTTAAACCAGATGGTTTGGAAAATTTAATGCCAACAATTGATAGTAATCTTGATTTAGAAATCAATGCAAGAAATTATATTTTTAAAGATGATAAAAATAATAATGTAAGTCAGAATTTTAGAATAATTGATTTTAATTTTTTTGTTTTTTGTTAGCGTCGAATTCGTTTACCAAATATTGTTCAACAGCAAAATAGTTTTCAAGATCTATCTATTGAAGGTAAAAAGAGAAAATATTAACTTAAATAAATAAATATTGAAATTATTCAAAATAGATGAATGTTATTCTCTATGGATATCATTTTTTGAATTATATAATGAAAATATTCTTGATTTACTTGTTCAACCAAAAGATATGAAAACACGTAAAAATCTTCGTCTTATGCAAAATGATCATTCAACAATTATTAAAAATCTAATACAAATACCTGTATTTAATATAAAAGAAGCTGAAGATATTATTAAATTTGGTTATTCGAATCGTGCAACATCAAAAACAAATCTTAATGAAGCATCATCAAGATCACATGCTGTTTTATGTATTACACTTATTACAATTAATGAATTTCATGAAGAACCCATAATGAGTCATATGTGTAAGAAAATTTTATTCATAGTTTTTTTTGTTAGACTCACATTATGTTGTTCAAAGAAAACCATAATAAATGTAAATTTTAAGTCGAGATTTTGCGGCTTCTATCCTCGTAGTTGAGGAACAGGGAAGTGTGATAATCAAAGGCGCTGAAATACATCTGTGAACTTTCTAAATAATGCAGTGTTGGAATTTTGCGGGGAAAGAAAAACTTCTATCCAAGATGTCACGGATAATGGGTGGTGATGCATTGATTTGCCAGAGTTGTCATGTGACCAATATAAAAAACATGCATGGATCAAGTTATACTTTTTGGAAAAAAGAATAAATACAAGTGTTTTTGAGCTTATCAAAACATATGATGAATATCTACAATAAGCTTATTTGCCAGATAAATCAATGATTAGATTTGAGGTAAAAGAATATAGATAAATGCTACATTTTAGCTTTCAATACAATACGTTGATAAATTATTTGTTTTCTATCTTATTGTTTTAATTTTATTTGTTAATTAGATATTTGTGATTTGGCTGGTAATGAACCATCAACTGGTACTGGAAAACAACTTGCTGAAACTTGTAATATAAATACATCATTAATGACATTTAAAGATTGTATTCGAACATTAAATGAAAATCAAACAACTAAGTATAAATAATAAAAATATTTAATCATTTTTAATATTTAATTTAAATATTTTAAGAAAACAAATGCTTGTTCCTTATCGAAATAGTATATTAACAAGTATATTTCGTCCATTTTTTGTTGGTCGTGGTCGAACAATTATATGTTGTAATGTTAATCCATGTGCAACATTTGTTACACAAACAAATGATTTATTAAAATTTTGTGCATTAGCACAAAAAGTTTGTTAAACGTGATTTTTGTTGATTAATTTGTTGTCTTGTTTTTGCACTATTTTTAGACAATTATTGTACCAAATGAACCAAAAACAGGCGCTGGTGGTTTGATAAGGCAGCAACGGAAGTCAAAACAAAAAGGTCCTAAACGTCTTGTTAAAGATGGACCTTTAAAAGAAAAGAATAAAAAAGATATTGTTAATAATGATGATGAAATTGAAGGTAAATATTTCATTGATATTGACTGATTAATCAAGACTATTTAACAATCCAAAATAAAGGGCAAGTTACCATTTCTCGAATAACTTCTGATAGGAACAAGATAGAGAGCTGCGGTTTTCACTATTCGAAAGAGCAATGTCCAGGCCGTCGATCTGTATAAAACTCATTAATATGAAACTTGCTTTTTTATAGATGCTTTTGGATCGACATTTTTTAGTTTGAATATTTTGATTAGTTTTGACAATAATTTTAACTCAAATTATGTCAAAATGTAGCTCAAATCGTCGTTTTTTCGCCATAAAATGATCATATATTTCAGTATCTCTCAACCTCCTATTCTAAGCGGATTTAGAAAAAGACGTTAATTTTATAGCGAAAAAAGGATGATTTGAGCTACATTTTGACATAATTTGAATTGAGATTATTGTCAAAATTGATCAAAATATTCAAAGGAAAAAATGTTGATCCAAAAGCACCTATAAAAAAGCAAGTTTCATCTTAATGAGCTTTATACTGATCTCTATCTTGTTCCTATCAAAAGTTATTCGAAAAATAGTGAGGTGCCTTTTATTTTGAAACGGACAGTAGATTACTATCATCTTCATTGTTTGTTTTTTGGTTTTAAAAAGATACATTCTTTGTAATAATAAGATCTACAACGAACAATTTTCTTGTTTTTTAATAGAAATCGGTATTCAGTCAATCGATGGATCATCATTCACTATCCCAACTAATATCAAATCAGTAATGATATTTACTCATATATCTTACATACTAATTTAGAACATATTCTAGATAAAGTATTGGAAATATTGTACGAAAAAAGCATTAGATTTATTACAAAAACAAGCATCAAATCGACGAATTTTAATGATTCAATTACAGTAAGTATAAATTCATAATTTTATTTTTTGTGAGACATACACATTATGTTTCTCGAAGAAAAATATACGGACTGTAAGTTTTAAGTCGAAGTTTTGCGATTTGTCTCTTTATATAAGGAGGGAGTGGTGGTGGGAAGACGGACTAATGGTTATTAGGAACATCTCTATAGCAATCGAAAAGCAACAACTTGAAACTTCTTTCCAAGATTTCGTCCCGAATGGAACAAGACGC